CTGCTCCAGATGAGAGCCGTATTCGTCTCTTTGGGAATGTACACCGTGGCATTTTGTATCTGCCGCTGCAAGTTACCAGTTTATAGTCTATCATATCATCCACAGTGAGCATCGGAGGCTCTTGGCTGTCCTCCCACCCAATCTGAGAACAGAGACTGAGTTCTTTTCAGTGGGCATGTGACAAATGAAGCTGTTATCACCATACAATAGAAGTTACAAGAGCTATCACAGGGGGTTCTGAGAGAAGCAAAAGCACATTATAGCCCTGCATGTAGCTGCTATGTTGGAGGAGGCTGAGCCAATGCACGCCAGGAAATGAAAACAACTGGGTAGGAACTGGCGAGTGACTCAGCTACTCTGATAATTGTATTTGGAAAGGCAGCTAAGATGGTAAATGGTACTGTCGAGCATCCTTAGGGCTGACTTGGTTTGGATGGGAGATTAAGTGCTTGAACACCTCCTCAACTAGGTGTTTGAAGGCGTTTATTCTGTTCATTTTGAAGTTAAGGGTTTTACAAATGCAAGTTTCTGAAAGGTAAAAAGGATAAGATCCCTTTATAACACTCCTAATATATAAATGGATATGTGTTTTTTAAGAGACCACAAAGACTATGAAAATAAAAAATGCTTTTTCCTTCACATCTTCTTTATTAGCGCATATAGGTTAAACAGATTAATAGCTTTCATTTTGACAGATTTATGCATGCAGGTAACATACTTTGAACATTTTCACCATTTTTCACTAGTGTTTATATTTCCAAGACATGATGGGTGACCTTCAGCAAATCCTTATATAAAATAGTTAATACACCTAACTGTATATACAGCCATGCCTTGCTATTTGACAGCTTTGAAACTATTTGAATTTGACACTCAGTGCATTTTGATGTAAAAATTTTGTCCTGGTACTCATCATTTTTTTTGGTATTTGACATGCAAGCTAGAACTTGTCAGTGTTGATTCTTTTGACTCACTATCTTTTCCAGCAAAAAAGAAAAAAAGAAAAAAAAAAAAAGTTTGGTACTCATGATTTTTGGTATTCATTCTGGTTCTGGGAATCAATTAATGACCAGTACCAGGGTAACATGGTACTAGTATCAACCCAAGAATATAGCATGGTATGTTACAAATCTTCACCCTCAGATTCATGAGGAGGAGAAGTATGATGTCTAATGCTTATGTGGTTACTTTGTCTTTGAATTTTGGATTTTCTTAGTCAAAACTTGCATATTAAGTGAAATAACTAGACATACTCTGTAGTACTCAAGCTTGACTCAGTGCAGTGGTATTTCTAGTTTAAAATATTGGCCATGTAATAGGTGATGAGCTTGAGGCTACTGTACTTTAATCTTGAAAAGAACTATAGTGAATCTAGAGAAATAATGAAGCTTGATCACTACTTTCACATTTACAAGGCTTAAAATTTTCCTGGGGCCATTGATAGTTTTTTAAATTAGAAGACGGAAGCTCTTGAAGGTGATTTTTGGTTGAGTCAGGACAGGCAATCCGATTATGGAGGTTTCTTGTGGAGGGATTCAGCATGCTCTGAAGTCACAATGCCTTGGTTTAAAAGCTACTTTGAGTCTTATCTGCTTGATAAGCTACTTAAACTAACTAACCTCAGTTTCTTCATCTGTAACACAGTGATACCTGTACCCATACCATGAAAATGCTTGGCCTATGTTTCCTCATGATTAGAATCCAGCCTTTATTCTTTTTCCTGTTGGTTAATGTCAGCTACATTTTTGCCATACTGTGACAAAGGTAGTCTTTAGGTAAGTACGGAAGAGGGAACTACATATAGAAGGTTTTACCGTGTCGAGACACAGGATACTTTGGTTAAACTTCCCTTGGGGAATAGCTCAGGGAGAGGTGCTGGACGTGGAGGTGATAAAAGATGAGAATAACCAGGAGGCATTATAATTCTATGGTCTTTACGACTTCCTAAACACATTTTAACATCAGGGCAAGACAACCGAGACAGCTTAAAGGAGGGGAGGTTTAACTTGGGTCAGAATGTCAGGGGCTGTCATTTGTGTTTTGTCGGCTCTGATGCAGAAACATGGAGGTAGAAAGGTGTGGTAGAACAAATTTATGGTGGGTGGGGGAGCCGAATAAAAGTACCAGAGAAGAAGGGATGATAAGCCAGATATAGATCCTGAGGTCATCCAGACACACTAATTCCCCAAGAAGATCCAAATCCAGTCAAGTTGACAATCTACCTTCACCTTGACTGCCCACCCCTGGTCAACTTGATTCTGAAACACTTCTGTTCACACCATAATTAATCTCCAAATAAACACAAATTCATAATTCTGCCTCACTGTAACCCAGTAATTCCTTCTTCAAAGTATCAGCAGTCCATATCTTGCTAAAAGTCCACATCCAAGTCTCTGCTGAGATTGAAAGCAAAACTCTTGGCTGTGAACCTCTGTAAAAGACTTTTTGAAAGTTATATAATTTCAAGTTTCAATGAGTCAGTGTGTACATTTTCATTCCAAAAGGGAAGAATGGGGGAATACAGAAGAATTGAATCAATGCAAGATTAAAACTCAATAGGGCAAACATTGAGTCCTGTGCCTCCATATCCAGCATCTGGGGCATGTGCTTGTGAGATGTTAACTCCAGAGGGCTTGTGCTGCTCCACTCCTTCGACCTTGATGGTAGCAGCCCACATGGCTTCTGTCTTAGGCAGGCATTGCTCATGGCCCTCAGTTCTCAGCAAATTTTTCATGTTTCTAGCATCTCTGACTTCCTGGGATCTCTCTTGAACCTTCAGATTAATTCCAACAACTTCACATACTGTCTTCTCAGAGCACTCTTGCCTGGCCTCTCAAGCCTTCTTTCAAAATCTGTGGAAAGCCTCCCTGACCCTATAGCTCCTGCATCTTGCATGACAATGAAACCAGCTTAATGTAGGCAACGGCAAAATCTGTTACCTGCTCAAGTACTGGTCAGGCCTCCTTGGACAATGGCTGCAGCAGTCTTTGGATACCAGCATGGCTGACAACAATGAAAAGAATTCCAGGGGACCAAATATCTACAGGGCTCTACTTAAGCAGGGGTCCCAGGGATTCTCTTCTCAAACAAAATGTTTATATTTTTGCACCTTGAACCTATGAAGGGTGTGGTCTTGCTGATTCCTGACATGCCCTCATCATATCTTCTTGTCTCTGAACAGAGTATCTGGTTCCTTTTTAATAGCAATAATGTCTTCAACATCCATGGCTTTTTTGGCCCCAGTTTTATAGATGGTTCCCTCTGGGAAAAATTTAGTTTTTCAAATCTTTCTGCTCTGCTTTTTGTTCTCAATTCTTACTATAAGTCACACGAAAAGCAGTCATCAGGGCACATGCCATAGCCTGAATGGTGGGCTGCCTTTGAATTTCTCCCACCAAATCTATTAGTCAACCATCCTGAATCTCAATCTCCTGTAAAGTTTCAGGACATGTACAAAATGTAGATTTTTTTTATCAGAGTGTAACACACTAGTTCAATTGCCAAATGGAACTCATGTTCCCAACCAAAACATCCTGAGCCTGGCCTTTGCTGTTTGCATTCTTATCATAATACTTGTCCTCTAGGCTCTCATCAGAATTTTGCATCGCATTCTGCTTATAGAAATCTATGGTTTCTTCAGGCCACTTTTCTAAAATTTTCCATATACCTTCCACAATCCAGTTTCCCAGGCTGATAAACCACATGATCAGGTACAGTCAAACAAAACCCCACTTCTCCAGTACCAATTTTCTATAGTATTCAGCTTTTCCATGACTGATGCACAATACCCAACACCCACAATTTCAAGGAGAAGAGATTTAATTTGCCTCATGGTTTCAAAGGATTCAGTCTGTGGTAGACTGGCTCTGGGGCAGAAACATTATAACTAAGTAAGCTTAGTTCATGGAATCTGTGGAGCTCAGCCAGAGGAAAATGCTAGAGAGAAATGGTGAGACACTAGATATAAATGCCAAGGTCATACCTCTATGATCCACCCAGACACATCCAGGAGGGTGTTCCATCAGTGCCCCAGGCAGATCCTGGGATCACAAGGAATCTCATGGGATCTACCTGGGATCTACAACCCAATCAAGTTTCTACCCCACCTTAAACATCACAAGTCAGCTTCCATGGTGAGTATGGAAGAAGAATGTAATAAGTACAGTCTTTGTTACTTTTCTCTAGTTGCTGGGATAAAATATCTGACACCCAACATTAAGGAAGGAAAGGTTTACTTAGCTCACAGTTTGTGGAGGTTTCTGTCCATACTTGACTGGCTCCAAGGCAGAGTGGCACATGACAGGGGCAACAGTTCATGGTGGTAAAGAGAGCAAAAGCAGTAAGAGCAAAATGCAGGTGAGGGAAAAAGCCTCTTTCCTTTACATATGAAAACTATCCACCCCAGGGCAGTGTAGCACTTACATCCATAATCCCAGCATTGGATCATGGATCAATCATAAACTCTACAAGCCCGCCCCATGACTGCATGTGGCTTTGGGGGAACACCCAGACACAAACCATAACAAGTACACTGAGGAAAGTGTATATAGATGTGCATATAGAATCTCTGCTCATGTGGCATGAGCAGTATCATAGTCTGAATATGCCTGGGGAAGACTGGCAAAAAACTCTGATAGTTTGGCCCAGAAATAAACTAAACAACTTTTATTTTCAGTTAGTCATAGCGTAAAATGTTGAAATTTTAGTATCGTTCAGTGCTAGAGAATTTCTAATGGAAAGTGTTAGGAGACAATGTCACTACACGGCAGGCCAGACTTTTGTTCCTGTTTCTTGGGAGAGGAGTACAAATGGAACTCTTTGTGACATAGGTCTAAATATTTGAGTGCTATGAATCAAGACAAACAGATAGTGAAATATATTATGCCTTCCCATCTTCAAATGACTGGTACAGTCGGTTACAGTTGAGAATTCTGAGGCCACTTGGAGTTCTAGAAAACATAGACTGTCACAATGAAAATGAGTTTCAAGCCCTAGCCTTCATTTATTGTCCTTTCTTCCCACTGTGGCCAATCAGCACAATGAGGAGATTCACACCTATCAGACTGCACACATAAGCTTTGTATCTGCTTTGGCAAACAACTTCCATGCGGGTTACCCTCTGGCCTAGAGATGCACACACTAATAACATAGTGCTTGGAAGAACAAACAAGCAAGAGTTGCTTACAGATACTGAAAGCAAGCTGAGAGATACTTTGGGTAAGAAGTGTTGATCTCATCTGAACCAAGTTAATACTTTAGAAAGGGTCCTAGGTAGGAGTATCTGTTTGTTCTCCCCTAAGAATTCTTCATGCTTTGAGGAAGACGACAGCTAGTAGGAGGGATTCTATAAGTATAAGACTCACAGAGAGATCCCTGTTACTTACTCAGGGTTAAGAGTTAAGAGTTATACTGCTTCACAGAGTCTGGTGTAGCATCCACAATGGAGAAGAAAATAAGATTTTCTAAAAATAACCAAGGTCATTATTGCCTTCCAAGTGTGTATTGAACATCAGCCTCAAGAACTCACTAACACATATTCTAATAGCAACCCTACTGCCTCTCTCACTGTTGCTTTTGTTTTGTTTTGTGGCCCCCTTCCGACATTGAAATTCTTTCTCAGTTTTCAATAGAAATTTTGCAACGTGGAGAGCATAATGAAGCAGCTGTTAACAGTTGCAGCTAAACAAAACACTTTAAACCAAAGACTCTCCTCCAAGGAACCTTGGAAACATGAAGAGGGTTTTATTCAAACTGGGAATTTCCAGACTTTGAAGTCAACGTGATAGTCTCTTCAAAGTACCATAACATTTCCTCAACTCACTGTCCATGATCAAACCTTCTATTTAAATCTCCTTGGAAGAATGTAGCTACAGGATCCAAGACCACAGAGTAAGTAGCACACAATTCAGTGGTGATTCATGAATATTATCCTTGGAAGAATGGTTTTCACAGCAGAGCTCCCACTGGAAGTTCCACATAAATCAAAATCATAAATAAATAATATTATGTAAGTACTAAATGAACCTTGCATCCCTAGGAAAGTTTAATCAAAGCTTCAGGTATTCTGAAATTAAATTTGTTTTTATTTTCTTTAGGCTCCATTTTTTACTTCATGATGAAGAAACAAAAGCTTTTCTAAAAACAGACAAAAATTAACCACTACTACCTGGGATAAATGCCATTTATAATTCCCCAAAAGTCACCTTGCAAATCCAGCTGAATCAAAGCAATGGCAGGGAACTTCTAAACTCTTTGTTAAGTAACATTAATTATTTATTGGCAGAGTACATTGCTTATGAGAAGATGTAACTCTTAGGTCTGGGAGGTAAGAGGGGCATTGAAAGTTTTCATCAGCTGAGGCTCCTGCGGTAGAATTACAACTTGTTATTAATGAAAAACTCCTGCAGAAATGCTACAAAAAGGCAGAATTTAATCAGGCCTGTGTTATGCACATAAATGGGCTACATGGCCTATATCTATATTATGAGTCTGAGTGAAAATATGTACTCTATATAGCACGTATGAAGTTTGTTATAGAAACTACTGTCAACCAGTAAACATACTTGCAGATTAGGAAAGGTTTGTGTGCCTGATACTGGAGGAATAATTAAATACCATAAGACTATAATTATAATAAGGATAACTTTAAATGATACTTTATAATTTAAAGTTGACCATCCCCATTTGATCAACAAGAGAGCTTCAGGTAATGTGGATATCTAGGGAACATTTTCTGGCTTCACCATCTGTTTCCTAAAATGTCTCACCATTCTATCTACAAACTACAAGTGAGGAATTACTTTTATTGAAAAGGGAGGGAACAGACAGAACTAGGACTTGATTTCTGAGGCCATACCCTCTTCCCCAGCCTAGACTTTCTCTTATAGCAGTCTATGGAGTTTGCAGGAAGAGGTAAATATTTTGCACAGTCAAATTACATTTTTGCAAGGGAAATATTTGCATCCTTTTCTTCCAAAATTAAAAGATGAGACCATGGAAAAGAAACATTGGTTGGACAGTCATGAAAACAGACTAGTCTCAGGAAACGTTCCCTTCCCTTTGTTTCGCTGCTATGTTAGCTGCACTTTTCCTCCCTTTTCCTCAGGTTCTTGTGATTTATTTAACAGGATTATTCCTTTGTTTCAGTTTTGCAGAGTTATTTGTGTGTGTGTTTGTTCTCCATCATAAAATTGCCCTGAAGATTCATATGAAAAACTCCTTATCCTTCACCGCCACCTTCTACAGTGACGTCTCTATTTTTGGTTCTTTAGTACTTGGGGACAAACCAAAGAAAGCATGAGTCTCAAGGATTCAAACTGTAGTAGCAATGGTCCTTAGTAAATCACCTGTCATGTCTTTGCCTGTGTATGAGACGTTACTAACATGATTTGTATCAATGTTTATTTAATTCTGATTGTTCTTTTCAAATTTCATCATCTCTTTAACAAAGTAACATCAAAATATTTAGCCTATCAAGTTAGCTGCCTGTGACATTAGCCCCTTAATGTGGGGATTGAACTTGTTTCTGCTCTTTTTTCTATAGGGGAAGCTAAAAGGAATTTATTTTTTGTTTTTTTTTTTTTTTTTTTTTTGGGTTTTTTCTCCGGTACCGGGAACCGAACTCACGACCTTGCGCTTGCCAGGCAGGCGCTTTTGCCGCTGAGCTAAATCCCCAGCCCCCTGAGCTAAATCCCCAGCCCCGCTAAAAGGAATTTAAAAACTTTACTGAAGCCACACTGCTAGTAAAAGACTGATCCCAGAATTAATTCCATTGCCTGATGAAAAAGACCTGCCTCTTCACCACTCTGCAATCCTGTCTCTAGGAAACATGCTCACCCCTCATCATCTGCCTTGGATGTTTTTTTCTTCATTTCATCTATAAACCACAAATGGGGAAAAGGCATCAAGCAGTGGAAGGAAAGGGATTGATGAATATTTTCTCCAGTATTACAGCAATTGGTATCTGTGTAATAGAGTGCAGGCAATTTGCGTGCTTGTCCCTGGTGTTCAGATTCTGCCCGTGGCACAGATCGGGCCCTATGATCAAGGTCTTTTCTCATACATTCATGTATCTATTATCTAGGAACTGTCCTGAGTTTAATTTTGTGGCAATGCTATTCAGATCACACACAGGTTTTGCAGGTAACTAACCTGGCTGCTTTCTTGCTACCCCAGAGAGCTGAAAGTGCTGGGGAGTTGCTTCTTTAGCAGCTACCTCATCTTCATAACTCCTGGGCTCCATCACTTGTATTTCTTGCTGCCCTTCACCCCACCCTTCTCTTTCCAGAAGGGATGGAGGAGTAAATTGCATTATATTCCTTGGTGCCATAAACTATGTCAAGTTGTGCAGAAACAATATTAAATATGGTAATTTTCTTTCTCTTTTTCTTAATCCATTACATTCTCTAACCAAGTCGCACCAACCTTTGAAAGAAAATAACTGCACAGGCATATGGGTAATGTCATTATGCTAATTAGCCCCGCACTAATCTGTAGAAATCAAAATGTGGCTGTTAGAATGGGGATCCTGAAAAGAAAGCCCAAACTTTCTCCTCAGGCCTCCCCAGCATCTCCAGATACCTTTAGTTGAGCCTGTTCCTCGTGAATTAGAGGCTAATGTAATATGCACACTGGCCCTGCACCCTCTCCACTTAAGAACTGGGGAGGACTGAATTCTCTCTTTTGAACTATGTCCAAAATACAAGGGACAGCGAGTCTAGAAGGGAGATGGGTGTAATAGAGTGAGGCAATTTGAGGACTTGTCCTGGTGCTCTTCTCCGGAGATTCTGAGTTTGCATATGGCACAGATGAAGGCCTGTGATGAAGGGATGAGCTGAGAGTAATTACAGAGACCGTGCTTTGCAAAATGCGCAAGGAGACAGCACATATCCAGCCCTAACACAGTAGGAATCTGGGGAGCAGTCAAGCTTAACACAAAATAAAAACAAAAATCTGGATAATAATGATACTTTTTGTCTCTTACCTCCCCATCCCCACTATTCAGCCTTCTGGAGAGTGCTTCCATTAACATCATTGGAGGTCTTTCCTGTCTCCCCAGGACCCACAAATGCGCTGGGTTTAGGAGCCTCAAAAGGCCACCAAGAGCTACAGAATCACAGAGCAGAAAGAGAGCTTAGAAAGCCCTTGCTACTGGCATTTTCTAAAACAATAAAAGGGAGAGCTGACCACATGGACCACGTCTTTCAGTGTCATCAGAAGAGGAATGACCTTGCTGCTTATGATCAGAAGGCTGGACTGAAACCGTGATACCCAATTAATCTCTTCGGGGCCCTGAAACTTGTTTTTACTCACTGCCATCTTGAAGTGGGTCTGGAAGAAAGTAGTTTGTATGATTTCAAATCTACAGTAGTGTTCGCACTGAAAATATTCATTTTAGAAATGACAGTTTTATATATCCTAATAGGAATTAAATGTAAATAAATGACTCTAATATGTCTCAAATCTAGGTAGACAGCCCAGTTTGAAATTTGTCTAATACAGAAGAAAAATAAAAAGGTAAACTATACATAGTGATATTTTATTTTGACAAAGCCCTGAAATTATCCCGGAGGTACAATGTGTTTAATCCATCCACATTCTCCCACATACATACTCTGGTAAAACTGTTGCATTATGACAGCAGAAATGCATTAATTACCTAAATGTTGTTTAACACTATAACACTAAAGTACTTTCTAGAATGTGGAAAGACATAAGAGGTTTTCCATATGGCTAATTCATGTGTTACACTGGTAGGTTAAGAGTAGTGACAGGCAAATATGGCTAAGGGTTAAGTGCTCCATCTCAGAACATGTGTGCATGGGTGTGTGTGTGCATGTGTGTGTGTGTGTGGGTGGGTGCATTTGTACAGATAATTATCATGGAAACCTTATTCCATGGTGGGTTTTGTTTCAGTGGGTGGAGGGTATGTGTTTGTTTATATTTGTTTATTTTAACATTTCTGAATCTAGAAAGAATACTATTGGTGGTGGGTAACTCCTTAACTCAGGACAAAGGAGTTATATAAGAGACTAGGAAAGGCTAATGAACTGCTAGAAGTAGAAACTAATAAAAAACTAAATTTATGCACTTTTTTGTGTAATTTTCATGTATTACGTATAGTGCCACCGAGTGAGAGCAAAAACCACGTCTGCGGCAGCCCTGATCTCCTGTGGAACAACCCCAGGATCATCCAGACTGTCAGAGCACAGCAGGCTGGAGTACCCTGAGAGGCTCCAGAGCTGCTGCCCAGTGTAGGCCCCTTTCCTCCCTTTCAGGATGGAGTGCTGCCTCCTCCATCCTTAACCAGATCCCCGCAGGCCTCATACTTCCTCTAAGTACATAGGTCTGATAATGCGAGCCCCTGCTTCTGTGGACTCCACGGCTCTCACCATGCATGGAGAGCGAGGCCTTTCCCAATCAGGCGTCACTCTCCTGCCACCTCTCCTACAGCTTCCTGCTCTCGCTCCAGCCAGGGAAGACTAGCACACTAGTGCTCTGTGAGCTTTCTACTCTCCACTTGTTTCCTGGCACTGATGTTTCTTCTCGTAACTGTCCATGATCCTGTTTCCAGTTTCCTTTAAAACGCTACCCATTCTCCCAAGTTCCTTTCAAATGTTCAACCTGCCAAGCTGTCCTTGGTGCCTTTCCCCTGATGCCCTCTGCATCACAGATAAGGATTTGCTCCCCGCCACCCTCCCAGAGCACCTTGTCTGTCTTATCTGCCAAGTCCCCCGAGCCTGGCTCCCCTCACAGTCTTCCCTGGATGGCAAGGTCCTTCAGGGCAGAGCCTTCAGCTGAATAATTTCAAGTGCGTGGATTCAAAAAACAGTGCCTTGCACCTAGACAATATTTATAGATATTATATTTATGTCTAGTAAATATAATATTTATTATATTTATTTCATATTATATTTATGTTATTTATTATATATTTATGTTAATATTTACAGATATTATATTTATATTTATAATATTCATAGATATGTATAGCACTTCATTTAATTACATTCAAAGAAACCACCAGTGGCTCTATTCTATGTACACAGCAGGGCTCCACGTACAGTAATGCGGATCACTGTAACCAATATATTGTGCTACATCTTCTTGGTGCTTTCTAATTCCTTGAGTGGCAGGGCAGAATACAAGAGAGAAAGAAATGCTGAAATGTTAGTGCCTGGAGGCAGAGCTTTGAGGACGCTGGAAGCCAGGAGAGGATGTGGTCTGTTGTCTTTCAGCAAAAACAGAAACTGCAAGCTTGATGAGGAAGAGAAAAACTAAAACACCTCTAATTTCCCCCCCTCTTAAAGCCTCTCTTGCTTGGCAGACACTCCAGCTATGTGAGAAGGCCTTGGGGACATCTCTCCGAGGCTGCTGTCAAGGTGCTGCTTCTCCTCGGGTGCTGCGGTTCCTCCTGTCAGACTGCCTGGCCCTCCCGACCCAGGTTGCATAAAGACGAGTTAACACAACGTGTAAACACGGCAGAGGGTCTGTGTGAGACCGTGGTGGTTTAATAAGAGAACACATCCAGCCCAGTCTCTTTGAAGGGAAACACCAATAAAGATATCCACAAGGGGAATTGATGTTATCTCTGCAGACATTCATAAAGCGCCTCTAAAAACAAATCCTCATATAACATTTGATTTTTTTTTTCATTCTTGAAGACTCTCTTTTGATCAGGGCTACTGAATGTTCACTGTGACCTCGCAGCTGATTGCAGCAACAATCATAGATTCGGAAAAGAAAACGGGGGAGATTTAAAAGAAAAAAAATCTTTGCTCTTCTGCACACAGCATTCGTAGTTTAAGCTTTTGGTTGAACTCCTTAGGCAAGGAGAATCCGGTTCCAGGCGGCTAGGGGGAGCCCGAACACAGTTGAAAACTCTCCGTGATTAATTGCATTCATTTAAATTTTCTGTCCTGCACCTCCGAGAGGCTCTTTGGAAAAGATGCCCTATCATTGGGCAGGGGAGTAGGGTAGGCGCCTCTGATTGGAAGATGTAAATCTAAGCGCAGCAGTCTCCCAGATACTTTCTAGGGGGATCCAGAGTATTTATGTGTGGGGCCCAGGCCCCTGCTGCAGTCCACAGCTGTAGCCAGAATAACCAGAAAGATCATTTCATGATTAGAACAATTAGAAAAATTTAAAGTGTGGAAACGTTGAAACTGGCTTTTCTCTACCTAATCCATTTCTATTTTTAATTTAATGGCCTCTGCCATAGCATTTGGTTTTTGCTTTTTAAAATTTGTGATTATGATTGCATTTATTTAAAAATGTGAGTGAGGAAGATTTGCAAGTGTAAATTTGAATGACTTCATAGCATGGTAAAAAAAAATAATAATCCTAAAACAAGCTAGAGTTGGTTCCTAGGTTACCAGAGTTCGCATGTTAGTAGTTTGGGCGTCTACCTACTCTCTCACGAATGAGTGTTTATTTGTGTAGGTACCACAAGAAAATGAGTAAGTTTCCTTATGCACAATATACTTGATCCTAACTGAGAAGCAAAAGAATATACTGTTATCACATTATTATCCATGTGAACTTCAGTAAGCTATTAATTATTTCTTCCAATCATCATTTCTTAATTTGACATAGAAAAAATCATGCCTACTTCTTTCAGTCTTAAATGAAAAGGTAATCATGAAGTGCTTAGCATATTGCTTGGCACACTTAAACGCTGGTACTCTCAGCTGTCCAGGGCCTGATGTAGCTCCCAGGATAAGTACTCAAAAATATTTGTTTAAAAAAATGAAGAGACAAAGGAAAGAAGGGAAGAAGGGAAGGGGGTGGATTCAATCATGTATTCATGGGAAATAGGCAGAATCACACTTTTCTTATTGCCTTCTCTCATCTGTTCTTGCTTTGTCAACTTGGTTGGAAGATGCCTCTGGCTTCCTAACTCTGTGATAGTAATGAGGACATCCCCAGCTCTATTCCATTTAAACCGCTCCAAGACCCAGCAAGGATGACGGTTGCAGAAATATAGCAGTACTGTTGTGGGGTGGAGAGATAAAGTTCAGGATACAGTAAAGAATATGAACACTGTTACTGAGTCCCCCAAATTAAAGAAGGAAAGAAATGAGGATTAGGGAAGTAACCTTCCAGTAGAGATAACAAACTTGAAAAGAAGGTAAAAACAGTATAAAATATTCTGAAAAGCTGTGGGGTGATAAGAGCATATGAGTAAAAGGGCAGGAATTTCAACTATGCAAGGAAGATGATGGAAGGGGATGTCCTGAGGTGGGATCTGCAGTGACCTGACAGGCCAGGAGTAGGATGAGCTATGTCAGTGTAGCAAGCCTTGGGTAAGAAAAAAAGCCAGAAGGAGAAGTACCCTGTGTGGTCAGGCTGAGCACCTGATCAGGTGGACAAGCAGCATGAACAGTAAGGCAGAAACTAGAACCTGACATGGTTGCAAAGTGGTCCCAATGGGCTAATGATACTACAGACTGTAAAACAATCCCAAACCCTGGAGTGCAGAAAGTCAGTAACATGCATCCAGCTAGGAGAAGCTTGAGGCATGAGGCCAGAGCAAGGGCTGGGAAAGGCCATGGCACAAGCAACTGTAGAACAAAGGAGGTGAGAGTCCCAGATAGAGGATGGTACCACTGATAACTCAGCCATCATTCTGGAATCAAATTGCATTTTTAACTCATAGGACCTTTCTAGGCCTACCCTATTAGTCTCCATTTGAGGTTTTTGAAGGTAAGTAAGACTTACATTTCCAGCCTGATTCAAAGCTGGAAGGGTCATGCACAATATTGATGCACTCAGGAAATGAACTAAGGACAGTCAGTGTCACTTGGGAGATCATATTCTCCCTTAGTCCTCTGAGGAAGGTGTCTCTTCTTCCCAAGATGTGAATTTGCTTGAGGTAGGAGCTAGATGTCAACACAGAGTCAGCTGTTAGCCTTGGGGGATACCAGTGGCAGCCTCTGCAAGAGGCCAGGAAGACTTCATGGCTGGACCCACCCATCAGAGAGTCAAACAAGTTCCCAATTAGGAATACCTGTTGAGTGAGGATATCCAAGTTAGGAAGGATTTTCATTTCTGAACATTTCAATTCTAGGCACAATATTTTAACAGAATGGAGAGAAAAATGCTGATAACACTTCTATACTTGAAATTATCGGAGGTAAATTGGACAATTGGACTTTAATACAAAGGAAAACTTCTCTGAATCTAGTTAAATTGTATTTATAAGAAAGCAAAGTCTCGGGGGCTGGGGATTTAGCTCAGCGGCAAAGTGCTTGCCTGGCAAGCACAAGGTCGTGAGTTCGGTTCCCGGTACCAGAGGAAAACAAAAAAAAAAAAAAAAAAAAAAAAGAAAGAAAGCAAAGTCTGTTTTTTTGAGTGCATGGCATTTCATGTTTTCCTAAAGGTAGTATATATCTAGCTATTTAAAACAATATCTGAATAAAAAAGGCAATGGCTAGTCATACTTTGGATGGGATACGTGGCTTGATTTTCCATCTGGAAACAAGGCAGCAGCAAATACATTTTAC